AAGCAGTGGTATCAACGCAGAGTACTAAGAAGAATGTGTCGCTATCACTCGTGAGCTGCTACCATATATGGGACAAATATTCTAGAATGTCACCCACTGTGCATCTACGTCCATACTAGACGGCAGTATTCCTACTGCAAAAGAAGTTTGACGGAGGGTGAGTATCGCCCGAGAGAAGATAGATACCTACACTGCTTGACTTTTGAATTTGCTTGTAGTTTTTAAAAAGCTTTGTTTCGGATAGTCTGCGAATTGCATATCGTCCCATTCAGGCTCTGAGGACGGCGAAGTGGCCGAAATGTAAGCCAATAAAAATCTGTAACAATCTCGGTTCTGGCTCAAAAACACAAAACATTAAAGCAGTGGTATCAACGCAGAGTACTGAAAGTCGAACATTTGAATTACTTCGCGATGTTTAAAAATTGTCTAACCCTTTCCGAAACAAATGTTATCGCATGCACATCTTCTATGGTAATTCCAAAAACAGGAAGGGTGATGTAAAAAAGGAAAAGGAAATGTTTAAAAAATGGCAAGGTGCTGGTCAAATATAATTGTGCGCTAGCAGCAGCACATCGGTTCACAATAAAGAAAAAAGATAACCAGTGATGGCAAGGAATAAATTATGAACTTTGACTAGGAAAAATGATGAGAAAACACCATGGCTCCCTCTCCCCCCCTCCCCCCCCCCCCCCACCGTCGACAATTTATGATTTCTCTACCAAGTGAAACACCCTTCACCCTGGAGAGGGCTGCCACCACTGTGACCCCTTCACCCTGGAGGAGTGAAGGGGGTCACAGTGGTAGCAGCCTCATTCTCACCTTATCGCACCTGTGACTCCAGCGGGACACAACTTTTTCACCGGGCGGACTTAACTACGAATGTCTGAGATGGCTTCAGCTTAGTTTACAATAGTGAAGGAACTACCGATAGCTCTTAATACTGTAACACGACATTGATTGAGATTGTTTTCAGCCATTAAGGGCTCTATCTTGTTCAGAAAGCAATAAAAACAGCCTGAAAACTCTTATGGGCTAACCAGAGCCACTGACACAAATGTAAATTATGCGCTTTTCCACAAGGCTTCCTTCATAAGTTATGCCATGTAAACTGCCGTAGCTAGTTTAAACAGCGTTCCCTTGAATAGCGATCACACTATCTGGAAAGTTCTACAAACTCGCAAAAAGCTTGAATGAGATCAGCGCAGGTAGTTACCCTGGTTTTTCATTTTTGGGATTTTTTTCGGAACACGGCTAATCCACAATATGCTGTAAGCGGAAACTTCATAGTAATATCACAGTAATGAAGATCTGCCATACTGCAAATAGTTGAAGACAGTTGTATGGTGTTCAAAAAAAGCAAAAGCTTTTTAGGTGAGAAGGTGAGGGTTACAGATATGAAAAGTATGATACATCAATTTGAGACACTACGTTGAGCCGCGGTAGATGTCATAGGCTTACAAGGCAATCTGTTTGGTGTATCTATTGAGTCAACAGTTCATAGTTTGAAGCATATTAGCGAATAATAAAACAATTTACCGTTTATGTAGTTTATATAAGTGAGAAATAGCTTACTTCAATTTCCATCGGTAAAACAAATGCGATAAGAGTTCGCTCTTTGCTGTCACCGACTTAGGGAGGTAAGTCTATCCGCAACGGCGCCTTCAGACTTGGCAAAGTTTGAAATATGAAGTAAAAATGTAGGGAAACGCAAGAGACAATAGGATAGGATGTGCCCGTGCACATTATACACACATACTTTAACCCATGCCGTTAAAGGCAGCGTCTAGGCAATCCGAGCTCGACGACCACGCCCACTTCCCTCGGACGGCCCCCTTATGAACGAAATCTCCTCAGCCTTGACATGTTTTCACATGATCAACACAGTCAAACTTACAGCGTTTACCCGTTAATACTTGCTTTCACAAGGATAACACCAGAAGCACTCGTCCGCGTTTTCCCAAAATAGCCCCAAAAGGTGGTTTTCTGAGAAATTCACGCTTTTTTGAGTTCCAAATTCGGAATCAGCGCCATGGAAAGGCCTGGATAACATAAAAATATAGAAGTCAAGAATCTGCCTGGACGCTGCCTTTAAGCATGAGCCCAGGTGCAGCCTTACGTCGGCCATAACAAGTATTGGACAGCATCAAACTGATATAAAAACCAACTTATTCCAAGAACGAATATATGTTCTACTTTTTAACGTGATCTCAGCACGTGAAGGAAAGGGGCTAGACTAATCCTACGCTCTTTGATTGGAAATCACTGCAAGAAAATAGAAGTATTTCTATTAGTAGATAGTACGGAAAGTAAGTAAAAGCTTTCAATGTTGTGAAAGCTCCCCATGCCGGTTTTAAGTTGAAACCGTGGGAAAAAACTAAAAGAAAAGCTACTCAAATAAGACGTATTTCGTGTAAACAGGAAAGAGCCAAGCACTGAGCTCACCTGCGTCGCGAGAAGTGCATGAACCAAAGCAGCAAAGTCCAACTCTTGCGAGCTTCTTCAAATCGCGGCTCCTCCTTTTCTAACTTTTTTTAAATCCTGCTAAGACGGCCTATATTTCTCACTCAAAAACTGATTGTTGATTCTGGTCAACCATGGTTACATGGGAGATAACGTACCGGAGTTTTTTTCCAATGAGTTATGCAAACGAATGTTGGCAATCAACACATGCAGACGTTTCTCGACACATATCTCACAACAGCGAGGAAAAAACTGAGCTGACAGAGAGCAAAGCGCCAAAGATTGTTTTTTTCTACAAACTTGGCAGATCTGTCACACCACTTTCGAGACAAGAAGTTTTTGTGTGTGACGGTCTGCAAATATGAGTAATTTTCTCGTTGAGAGAATAGAAAGTCAATTGCAGCTAAGAAAGGCGAATGAGCAAACACAAAAGC